GTCAGACGTAATAATGGCTAATGTTTTATAAATATTTTTATGATTAGGTTATTTTTAGTTTAAAAATTGGATTTTTTTCACGTTGATGATTTTTTCCCGACAACGACGATTTATAATTTTATAATATCATACTATATTCATTCCATTCCCGCGTGCATAGTTCGACTGTACGCACACATTTACCTGACGCTCGATGGTTGTCCTCGTATCTCTATCAAAAACAAACGGAAAACATTCTATCCAATATCGTATTATACGCTACTTAAAATCCTCACCATTCTTGGATGTACCCTACAGGCTATAACAACATCCCAACAGGGTAATATACTATACTATAGTATATTACTTAAAATAATATGAACATTAAAGCAATTAAAGTACATATAGAATGACTAAATAGAGAAAATAAATCAGCCTTAGTGTTTGATACAGTGTGAAATTAATTAAGACTTATCGTACTAAAAGCTTTATTATGATCTGTGTATACTCTATGTATCATGAAAATTGGCGCAAACGATCGCGGAAATGTTACTTTACGCTCGAAAACAGTAAATGACAATGATATTATCGTCTTTATATGTTAAGTGTATTATTTTTAATTGTAATTTCCCTTATGGGCCATACCTTTTTCAACAAGAGAACGTTTTTACCAGTTAAACGTTACGCAACGTTGTCGAATCGATTAAAAATACATAATAATAATAAAACTAGAGGACAGCGAAATGGTTAAGCGAGATATATGTCTTAGTTTTTTTTTGCTTTGTAAAGAAAGAAAATTGAACTGTTGAATAATATTCGTTTGAATGACGTAGTTGTGTGGGATGGATTTTTAACGGAACGAACTATAATTGTATATATTTTTAAAAGAAAACAATCAATAACAAATATACCGAATGCAAAGGCGTGTGTTAATGGTGAACATTATTGTTAGACTGAACATAAAATTTATTTTGCATATTCTTCAATTTGGTATTTTTAACTAAACGAATTCGTGTAACTCAATTTAAAGATATAAGGTACATTGGATATTATTTTCTCTTCTCATCATAAATCACCTTTCGCATTAATGCGATGTCATTGTGCGTAATATTTGGTAAAGCACTTTTAAGTTACTGAGTTTTAATCATTTTAAATAATTTTATATTATTCAGCTTTCTGCTTAGAATTTTCTCTTAAAATGTTCCTTTACATTTTTTGATTATTATTACTTATATGACTGACGTATTTACGATTTGATTCACGAAAAAATTTACAAATTTTCGTTAGTACACTGATCCTAGAATTGTGTCGAAACATTTTTATTTCATCTTTGCGTTGTCATACAAATTAATATTTATAATTATTTAATGATTTTAATTATTTTCTATGTAGAGATACGTTATGATTATGATTTTGAAGTTTTTATTATAATCACTACGCGCATTATATATATATAGTATACATATAGTAACGCATATATATATATATATATATATATATAGTCAACACTGTCCATCAAACAACTGAATTTAGCTTATCCACAAATAATGACTTTATGCAATATTAATGATTACCACGATAACAATATATTATCTTTATTGATAAAAAATTAAAATAAAAAACTACGTCGTTACTCTTGAAAAATCGTTCTCAATCCTTTTAATATAAAATACAATTAATTGTTTCTTTGATCTGCTAAAGTTTTCAATGGTATCACACCGGTGTAACTAAGTCTTAATTTAATTGGTATTATTAGTTGCCATATAACGGGCATACGTTGTGATATATATCCGTGGTTGTCGAGTGTACGGAAAATATCGTTATGACGATCACAGCATGTCGTGGAGACGCAATGTTATTGTTTTTTTTTCTTTCTCAAAATTTTTCGTCGTTTCCGAACAGCACTTTAAAAATCCTCAAACAATGGGAGTGCGTGAAGTAGTTGGCAGGCATCTGCTGGGTCAATTATTTCTCTCACCGGGGTACCGTTGAAAGTGACCAACTTTTAAATAATATAATTTTCGTCACGCCTGATCGGTTATTATGTGTAGTACTTTCAGACGTCTACACATGAAAATTCGAAAATTAAGACCAGCGCAATCATATCCGTTCGTATGGTATAATTTACCACCATTCGTGTTTACATTTCACATATATTAGTATTATTAAGAACGATTTATATGATTTTCATCCAAATCACTATGGTTCACTCGTTCAAGTGCGATACTTTGGGTAAGAACATGAGAAGTATTAAGTAAAGTAAATTTGTTTATTTTATAACATTCACGGTAGTTTTGCTACTGTTGTAGCTCATATTATTCACCGAATTTTATACATCCTTTGGATATAATTCAAAAATTCACTTACTGTCGAAATTGCAGGAAACGGAACATTAACTTAATATGATGATTCAACTTGTATATCTTGATATTTTACAATTAATTTCTCTGATGAATTCATAATTTTAATAATTGTAGACTTGATACAATGCACTCAAAGTAATGTTTTGAATTTGAATTACGTAAAATTAATAAATAAGTTACATTTAACATACAAACGTATAATTTAAGAGTATATTTTATAATGAATGCTTCATTTACCGGTGTCGTCCAAACACTAAAATTTTGTTAGTTAGGTTTGTTGTTGTTTTGTTGGTTTTATTTTTGTTGCTAAAACATTTCAGTTAATTATATTTCTATCCCAGTGTTATACATTTGCACATTATGAGTTCAAGTATACATACGTAAAGATATTATAGTCAGCATGTAGTCTTAATCACAATACTTACATAAAGTGGTATCACAGTCATTGCATTTATATATAACGAATGGATGTACACATTAGAAATCCATAAAACCACAAAAAACAATAAGGTTAAGAACAGTTAAGGGGAATATAGTAACGAATAGGTATAGACCACGTACAAAATAAAATCGTTTAGATAAATATATTAAAATATATATAACAAATAATCCAAGTTTGGGGGCACAATTATCATTGTACATAAGTAACATCTTGGATTGTTAGGAAAACAACTCCATTTTTAGAAATTGCATATCACTGACCACATCCTATGTTAGATAGTCATAAAACATAAAACGATAAAAAGTTTAAAGGAGATCAAGGTTTATAAGGAGGTCCCGAACAGATCAATTTTCAGTTTTTTTTTTAGTCCGATCATAGCAAGCACCTTCGCACCGGTTAATTTACTAAATTAATTAATTGGACTTAGAATTATTTGCAATAATGTTATTATTTAAAATCGATAGTTCAATTTATTTCACCCATATCGTAATCTAAATTTATTGAGAACCTGTACAATATATTGCACTAGCCTATACACACTGACTGGCATGCAACACAAGAATATATCTAACTTCAGTGGTAAGCTAGGACCTATGGCAGGATCAATCTCAAAGTTCACATACATTGAAATATAAAATGAAAATATTGCAAAAAACTAATTAGATAAAACGGATGGTTATTTAAGCAAAGCTTGGAATTCAAACTACATAGATAAATGAAGAACAATTAGTTATTTGTCGAAGAAAAATTAACAATAAGTAAGGAACAATATTCCAAAAATATAAAAAAAAATAATTTAAATATTAAAAAGGAATGCATCAAGAATTATTGAAATATGATTTAATTTTTGGTAATCAGAATGATATAACCATATATCAATGAGTCACTTACGAACAAAAGAGTAAGCGATCGGTTTCACTTCCAAAGATGACAAAATTGTTATTTTTAAATAACAATATAAAAACAAGTAAAGCAATGAGTATGTTACTGAAAACAGCAATATTTATAACTTCTATCGGGTCTCAAATTTTCTAGAATATTCGCGCTACTGCTTGTTTCTCGTGTACCTAAAATAGATAACCAGACTAGTCGTAGTCTGTATGTGTGATAGATTAATGGTCGTCACAGTTGTGTATTCATCAATTATTCTTACGTGGTCGCCAAGATAATTTAATTGTAAGGTCGGGTATGTCGCATATTATCGACAGCGAATCTTACATTCAGTTTAGTTATTATTGTTAATTAATCGTGTTATATTATATGATTAAATATATAGTCCATTTGTATTCATATTTAGTGGTAATGAGCATGTTGTATTCGATCCATAGTATTCCCGACCAGTCCCGACGGCTCTATACACCCGAAATTACAAAATGCGTATATAGTCGTCAACAACACGATAATGGTATAATATAAACCTATATAAGCAATGCATATGTAGTACATTTACAATTTGAATAATTCGAATTGGAGTGATATTCGTACCTCACATTCTATTGAATAGTAATAATTTTATCGTATTTTATCGAATAATACTCAAATTACCTCGTGAACATTTTCTGTTCAATTAATGTCAATATAATAATAACAGAGCATATTTAATTTGTAGTTTTGTTATTTATTCGAATAATGAATTTCTTTTGAATCTTACCATCGTAATAACTTCGTAAATAACGATTCCGCAGAATCTGCGGAATTGTGTAGATTTTTATAACCATTTATAAACATAAAAGGTTCCATGAATTTCTTATATATAAATACATCGCCAGATCCAAAATGTTATGGTACCGTAACACCCGTATATAAATGCTTGTAGTCACACATAGACGATACAGACGTACGTACATTCAGATGTTTTGATTTACCATATATTTATGCATTGTTTGATTCATATTCTGAGGTTTTTTCAATAAACAATTTCCTCCTCAAACTTCACAGGCTGTAGAAAGGTATGAACTCCTATATTCTCTTTTCGTTGTATATAACACTACTTTAATAGTTTGCAACTATATATTTAGGGTATATGATGTGTATGATAAATCATCCAAAAGTAAAGTTAAATTATTGCAAAATTTATCAATAACCGGTCACAGACAGCACGATTATGACTATGGATAATTAATTATAAGTTATAAAAAAATTTGAAAATTTTTTTGGAAAATTATAACGACTTTTTATGATTAATTATTTTCATTGTGGTTCTTATCTTGTTGCAGGTGACGAGGTCGTTACGAGCTATGCCGTGGTAGCGGCGGTGCGGTGCCGGGATGACTAACAGCCCTGGGGCCTATCATGTCGCCGCCGCTGCCGCCGAAAACAGCCGTAACATTGGTCACGCAACTGCGACGTCATCATCGACAACAGCGCACGGACGACGCGGACACGCCGACTCCTCGCATTACATCATGCCAGCAGATCCGTAAGTCACTACATGCCCCATGACGGATTATAGTTATCGTATTAATATATATCGAATGATAAAAAATTCGAGAACCAAAAACATTTTAAATGAACTCCAATTAGAAATAAAAATTTATTTATTTATTTATCCATTTTTTTTTTCTTATTCAAATATTTTTATAGACTGGGTGATTTTTATTATTATTTCTTAAAATTGTGTTATTACATATCTCTTGCGGTTCAATAGGATTAATTTAAATTAAATTAGAAATAATGCTCCTATACAATAAAAAATGTTTTCATCACCGTGAATGTACCTGAATTGCCTATACAGAGCGCCGTTCATAATTCTCTAAACCAAGTTTTATTTCATTAATTTTACTGTCTTGAGGTGATACTTGAGGTGATAGATTTTTGTTTTTATTTTTGCAAGACTAATGTACTGTAATTACTATTTGAATGTAATTTTATTATGAATATAAGTACCTATCAAATATAATTAAGTTGGTCAGTAATATTATATTGACCGAGGCTATAGTTAAAGTTATTAAAACGACCATGGTATTTTAAAATATAAAATAAATGCAATACAATCGATGATTTGAAAAATAAACAAGGTTTATTGTTGCTGCATCCATGTAAACTATTTGGACGATTTTAATCACAGAGAAAACTCCGATCATCACAGTTTTAAAAGATATCTAATAGAAAATGTTGATGAATTTTGTAACAGTTATCTCAATAATTATTATTAAATAATAATATTATAATAATTATTATAATTTACTTAAGTTTTTTTTTTACAATTATTGTAAAAAAAATACGGTATTGTTTATATTGCATTCTGGTTTTTGACCAATCTAAATTTTTTCTTCGTAACACAAATAAATATAATTTAAAGCTTATTATATGGCATTTTTAATTAATGATTATAAAATATTATATTATATTATTTATCGTTTGTTTTGATGATTGAATTCAATTTTTTTTTTTTAATAATTTAAAGAAAATTATACAATTAAGGCATAAAATCACAAAAATCTACTACTTTTTTACTTTTTTTATTGAAAAGTTCATCAAATTTTTATTTTTTTATATTTACAGCTCGTATATTTGTTACAAATATACATTTTTCAGACAAAATAAATAAATAAAAGTTGTTGAAAATTGCCAAAAAAAATTTTCTGAGTTCACCTACACTTAGGAATAAGTAAAAATAACCTCAAACTATCAGAAATATAGGTGTATGGTAGTTTTGACTGTACACCGATCAACCAGTGTAATAATATTGAATTTTAAAATTATACTATTATATGTTTATTTCATGACATGGAATTTTTCTGCAACACTTAACATAATAATTAATATAGTATAATAAATAGGGATGGGCATGAAATCCGAATATCTAAATTATCCGGATATTCAAATTCGGATTTGAATCAAATTCTTATCCCGATTTATGAATTTGCTTTTTTTATAACTTATAATTATTTTTAATTTCTAGTAAAATAAATTATTTTATTTTATTAAACAAATTAACATTATATTTTATGAATTTCAATTTACTTATCATGATTTCAATAGTTCTCATAATTTATAATTAGTTACCATAATTACAATTTATTAAATTATTGGGATTATTTTTACCTCTATGACTTACAATGATATCATGACTGAACACCCAATTACCTTATCTTAACTGCATAACCTTTGAATGGTTATTAAATACAATTTTCTGAAGATAAGTTGAATTTATACTACAATACAATATAGGAATAATACAATCATAATTGTTATCGATGTAATTATTTACACGGACAAGTTTTCTTAAGCATCACGTAAAAATATATTGTAGGAATAGTATTTGTAATTGAACAGAAAAATTAAATTGAATAATTCGGATAGTTTGGATAATCCATGAAATCCGGATATGCTCATCACTAATAATAACATGATGTTCATATGTGTTCTAAACTAACTCGATGCGAACCTAATTGATTGTATATTGTTCAGTCGGATGACAAATCCGATATTATTTTCTTTTTTGACATTAATAAAATGTTTAAAGGTCAAAAATAAATATACGAATATTTGTTTATATTCGTTTATTTCACGTATAAATTATGATATTTATTAAAATTATTACCACCGTTGTTGTTATTATAACTATTATTATTAGTATTATGTTTATTTATACTCAATTTTTTTTCTTCAATTTTTCATAATGTGATGTATAATTTGATTATTATCAATGTGATTTGAAATCATAAGTTGTTGCGGCACCGCTAAAACTGTTTGTTAGGCTATTAATTATACGATTTTGATCTTAACAATGTAAAAAAACAGCTGATTTATAATATGCGTGTCCTAGTTTTCACAAGTTATAATATGTAAAGGTATTGCCAACTGTCGTTTCTCTCCATAATACGTGTGTGTTAAAATATTGGCCAACGACCAATGCATCATTATAAGAGCGATACGCATAATTTAACGATTTTAAATATCACGCCATATACGGTTAATTTATAAGCATATATTTTATTAATCTTTACTCCGAAATTGTTATAGTTCATTTAGTAAATGGGAAAATATTTTGAAACGAATAATTCAAACGATTTTGCAAACAAATTATAGCATTTGGAGTGGAGCGGGATTTTTTTTTTGTCTTCACATAACTTGTCCAAAAGTTTCACGTGGGCTAAAAGTTATATATCAATTGAGAAGTTTCGTCTAATCAGAACCTCATTGAGATAATATTTCGTTAATTTCGAATAGTTTAAAAACTTTGGCGAAAAAATCGCTCTATTCATATTATGTATCCGTTTTAAACAGAATTTGTTTTCGGTTCATGATCAAGTTCAATAAATAATTTATTTCTAAATTATAATTGGTATAAATGATTTCGTACTAACTGTCACACCAGAGATATTTCCATTAATTTTTTTTTTTTTTTTTGAGAGTATAATAAAGTTTCAAATACCAAAACACGAATATTTATACAATAAAAAAAAATTTCTTATGATCAATTAAGGATATGCAATTATAAAATGAAAAAAAATAAAATTGAAATCGAAATGTTTTAAATATTTTCTTTTTTTTTATATATTATAAGTTATAAATTATATATGCATTAATGTGTTCATTTAAATATATCTTTATGTATGTAAACAATATGTAGGTAACATTAACAACAATTTATTAAATTTAACTTTATTCAATGTATTAAGGTAGGTAACAAGAGGTAGATGTGGTCACTCTAGTTCTCTAGTTCTAAATCCCGGTGAAATGTTTAATCCCAGTCAGTTCCTGATTACTATAGCCAAATAGTGTGTAATATTTCAGCTATCGAAATCATAAATAATTATTAACATGCCTAATTATGGGAAAAATTTGATTTCAAAAACAAACTTTATTAATTTTTTTGAGGCAAGTCTGAGTAATCGAAGTTTTATACTATGTTACGGTTTTAGAATACCACAGTATATCGGTAATTTTACAATAATGTATTAACCTACAGGAACATCCCTTGTCACAGCGAAACGCATTAAAGTACAAAGCCGTTTTACACATTTTTAACTGTTGTCGATCCTCGAATGGTATATTAATTAAATTCAATTTTAACCACAGAACTCTAGAAGCGTGTGATACTTCAACGGTGTTAAGAAGAATTATGAAATACACTAGAGTAGTAGACCATACCTGTGATATTTTAACCAAAACATCTTGGAAACGTCATAGCCATACCAGTTATTTTATATTGATATCCATGAAAATACTTTACATTTTAAACTTTATACGGAATGTTTTCTTTTTTTATTCCAATAATAATTTATCATTATCCTATTCGAATTCCGGATCCTGCGTTAACGTTAGCTGATTACTTTTGACTAACTCTATGATTTTCTATTCATTTATTTGTTTATTCGTTTGTTTCATCGCATAATGGCGAACACTCTGCGTTTGTTTATTTGACTTTTGTAATGCAATTTCAACGAATTCGAAGACAAATGACACCCCAGTCACTGTGTCTCGGTACGATCTGAGAGCCACGGTTGTATAATCCGCTACTGCACCTCGCGTTTATCGTACACATGTATGCGCACGGTTCATACGAAAATACCAAATGTATCGCAACGAAAATATTACAACAATTTACGTTCACCGTTTTAGTTACAATTACAACAACAGTGAACGGCGTAATAGGTATTGTTCCACCATTCTACTCTCACCACCTGTCCGTCTTCGCGGTAGCATCAATTAAAACGTCCACGGCCCGTGTGCATAGGTTACGATTTAATTTTCGACCGACCCTCTTCAAATAACGTTATTTTCGTGACGGGTGAACGGGAACGTTATTTCGTTATCATTATTGTCATTATTCGGGTCAGCCATGTAAAAGTTGGCTCGCTCTGAGATCCGCATCCCTGCAGCCAACGTCACGTACACGGTGGTCCAAGCACGAGCAACGAATCACTTTTTTCCGCGTGGTTATTCGATAAAAAGGATATAAAAATATATACAAAAAACTAAAAAAAACGGAAACGCGTTAAATAATATTTACAAATTATTTTCCGTCTATTCCTCAGTTTTCACCTATTGCGCCGAGGTTCTGTTTCAAGGCTTATAATATTATAATATTAATACCACGATGGACTGAGTGTTGGAAAACGGTCGATTTTCATGAAAAACAAATCAATTTTTGTTATAACAGAAAATAAAATAAAAATCAATGTAAAATAATGTTATAAATTTTTCACATTTATTACTCAACCACAATATCGACATAAAGAAATAAAAAATAATATTTTACTTTTGGTAACCAGTGTAACTAGCAATCGGCATTCGATGACCATTTGTTGAGTTGCTGGGTGAGAAAATGACATTAAATATTAGTTATAATTAGTATATTAGGTTATATGAGATAAATTCTAGTGAATTATTATGAATATTTAACGGAATATATTAAAATATTCAATAAATAAACGATTCGATTGAGCAATTTTTAAATACCGAAGTTCT